AATAAAAAAGTGCGTGGAAATTAACTCATTTTTTTCATTATCTATCTATCTTCTGGAGAAAATATACAGACTTCACGAATTAAAGAAAACGTGTCCTTTCATTCCAATGTTTGAATGATATATTTCGGTTAACAAACCAAATGTCAGCCAGTTTGTCTAAATCAAACACTTGAAAGTGAGAATTTTTTACCCTTATACATTTGAAATTAAATTTATATCTGTCGTGGCGATTTATTTATTGTTCCTCTAATCACTATAAATAAAATGTTTTGGGAGAAAATCTCGGTATCAAATTTTTATTAAAGATATTTTAATGTTGGTAATCCGAATTAACTCTCAAATCTTAAGATTACATCAAAGGTGTAGATTCTCAAAGCTGGTTGTGTGGTAGGTTTCACGATATACGCTCTCTGGGTTCTAAATTCACTAAAGTGAAATAATTGCTTAATAACCGAACTAACTTCAAAGTCAAAAGACTGGATTGTAAATTTAAATTCTGCTCATCAAACTGACGGGACTTTTTTCCCTATCAAAGATAGAGTTTCAGGAATGGGGTTCAAATGCCTAAATGTTGTATACCATTAGCCTCGGCTTTGCAGACAAAATAGAGCTAATGTATATAAATTGTAAATTGAGGGAACGTTACACTCTTCTTGGGGTAAATTTAGACAGTAAGAGAACGCAACAAGAGAAACGGAATAAAATGAAATTTGTATAGGGTTTTTAAATTACAATTCTTAATCGTCTATTCACTTGTAAAAGTGTTTTATCTATTTTTGTATTAAATTCGTTTGAAGAAATAGCAAATTTCGAGTAAACGACATCGTGCATATATTTTATTGAATTCAGAAGAAATTAAAGATTTAATGCAAGTTTTCCGGCAGGATTTCTTTCCATTTCGGACTGAAACTTATTTTCATAGTTCCTGCATATTTTTTTCATAAAAAATCATATATATTGTTGCATTGGAAGATTGATTGATTGCATGTTGTTTAACGTCCCTCTCGAACATTTTTCACTCATATGGAGACGCCACCACTTGCCGGTGGAGAGCTACAAATTTTGTCCTATACTCGGCACTCAGGGTCATTGAGCAATGAGGAATCTTTTTCGTGCCAGCACCTACTGCGGTTTATAGGTCTCATCCGAGGGGCCGGTCTCCACGTTCCACAGTAAGGATCGACTCCTTACTTGGCGACTCCAGAGCAGACGCTCCAACCACTGCGACAATCGGGCGACGTTGCATAGGAAGAACTAAAGTTCTTAAATAAAAGTTTTGCACTTCCAAAAAATCGATTTATATGGCATTATTGAAAAGTGTTCTTATCAAACCGAAAAAGATTATTAATCATTTCCAAAAATTGTATATCTTTAGATGTACCATCGACACAGTGTAAATATAGTAAAACAAAGCAACATATACAATAGCTTAAAGAATAACAATTGAGACTATATATGTGAGCATAATAAGTAAAAGTTTTAGAGCAAGTAAGATATAGGGCGTGTAAAACAAAGCAACATAAACAAACTGCTTCATAAGAATAACAATTGAGACTATATATGTGAGCCTAAAATGTTAAAAGTTTTAGATACAAGTAAGATATACGTGGTATTAATTTAGGGCATGTCCGCAGTCACAACTTTTCCCAGGAAAGAGGCTAATGTAACAGCATAAACTGCTTCATACTGAATTTTTGCATCTTTGTTACTAGTATTAGGCCTACAATGTTACACTGCTATAAGAAGTATGTCTTCTGCAAAAAAAGAAACTGAAATAAATGTTATATTTTTTAAAATAAAAATCCAAGAAAATAATTATTGGTATTTTATTACTGTTCAAAATTTATACATATAAACAATGCAGCCACAATTTGATTGTAAGTTTGTGTATCACAATTAATGTAATTAAATTAGAGGAAATAAGGAATATTAATATCCATGAAGTAATTCTCAAAATATTCTGCTGAATCGCTGAAAGAATAAGTTGATCAAGTTTCCTCACAAAAGGGGTCGTAAACACAACAGTTTGGTAATTTGTTATAAGAATAATGCATATATAAGTTTCATGTTTTACTATCTGTCGTATTCTTTATAGCTTACAAGAACATAAAAGCAGGGCGAATCCGATGAATATTTAAGCCGGTGTCGAAATTTGTTCAAAACGTATATTAAATTACACCAACTCAGAGAAAAAACATGAAGCTATCAAACGCATTTTATTGCAGAATATGGCGTTTAGTGCTTTTGAATAAGTGGCACATTTTGTTATGTATGATTTTATGTGTGTGTAAAATTTTAAGAAAATGCTCACAACATTTATGTGCAGTATGTTATAGAACCAGCAAATGCCTCTATACTGCAAGTTTTTCGTTATGTAGAAATAATAAATAACATATGGAAACATATAATGGCATTGAAACACTGAATGCAATGTATTTACTGAAATTTTGAAAAATCTTTTATTAAAACAATTTAGCGTTTTTACACCAGAAGTTAACATTTCCATATCTTGTTTTGAAATGTACTCATTTGTTACTAATAATATCGATCAAATTGATGGGAAATAAACTGAAACACTTCATGCTTCGTATTGGTTACGGATGTCGAGTCGACCAGATGCCGGTCCATGGTCAATTTAATGACCCTCCTTTTCACCAATCAGGAAGATCCTGGGAGAAGTGACCCGTTTGATCATCTTCAGGGGGTTGCAATGTGAGATGAAACCCTCAAGGATCTCTGTTTTCAACCCCCATGAAAATGGTATTGCAAAAATGCCGCATAAAGTTCAATGTCGCAATTGTTGACAAATCTGATAATTATCGGATAAGAAAACACCTGCGCTGGTACTGAGCAGGACAACATGGCGGACGGGTCCTGACAGACGATAAAATGCATACGTGGAATGGTTTGTTATTCAGAAAATTGACATTGTTTTTATAAAATACTTCTACAGTACATGCATGTCACTTTCTTAAAATTGCTCCGAAGCGAGAGTTTCAAACTTTGCAATCCGTGTGGCTTTTTCAAAATACATATATTCTGTTTTAATATGTAAACAGTTACTATTTGAATTTGGAAACTGCACTAACTGCTACTGTCACGCTGTTATTTTCTCGCAAAAACGAACAACATTAATTTTTTTCCACTCCCCGCCATCTCTTTATGAGTGATCCAACAGAGACACATATTATTCTGAAAGGGATTCGCTGTATTAAAGACATTGTGCAATGATGAGGGGTCCTTTCAGCATCTTAGGCATCTAAGAGCTCCAAAAACGCCAAACACTTTACCAAACGACGAGTTAATCACCCACACGAGGTACTTGAAACGTTATTGCTGAGACTTAACTCTTTGCAGGTGAAATCCGGAATTATTTGTTCTACGCCGTTGGTAGTCCTCATCATAAAATTTTCGACACCCCTTGTTCAGTGTTGCTTGTGTTTTTAGTGCTTTAATCATTTCATATACCACGTTGGTAAATAATTTATTATTAGTATGCCACGTGCAGCCCATTAGTTAAATATTATGGAAAACCCTATTATCTTTACTTTGCATATTGCATAAAGCGACTCCAAAATGAACTGCACCCGAAAATCAAACAACTAAAACGAACATTGTGAAACGTATATCGTTGTACGTTAATGTGCTATTTCGCATTTCTTTTCAAGAAATAAATGAATTGAAATGGCCAAATCATACATAATATTGAGAAAGACTGCATATGAATTTGTTTTTGCTCGTTGGAATTGTTTGAAGTCTTTAACTTGAAGTGTAACGTGAAGAAAAATATAAACGTCTTTTATTACAAATTGAAATTGAATTAATTCTCTCTCCTTTTCATCTGTTTTTGAGTAGAAAACGCTTGAAACATTTTGAACAAGTGTTTGAAGTACGTAAATGATTTTCTTTCTAATTTTGTTTTCATTTGACCGAGTATAAAATAGAAAACCACTTTCACATTATTTGATAACCAACCGTAATTAATAAAGAAAGACCTTGACAAGAAATGCAGGACATATTTTGTAACATTGGTTATTACACAAACTTACTTGTATTCTAATCTCTGAAATAAATTTAAATGGGTGGAACACATACTATTAATCAATTTTAAAAGCATAAATACCGTTGGTCCAAAAGTTGATGAAAATGGTATTGACTATAAGAAAGCGAGCCGATTACATGAACATGCATGTATATATAGAAAACGCATTTGATGTGGTAAATCCGTACTAGTATATAGTGTTTATTCATGTATATCAGTTATTTTTCATGGGAAATGTATTTTTGAAATAACACAATTATACCGTAGACTGTTTCCAAAGTGCAAGTAAGAATTTCAATGCATTTTCCAGCGCAAGTGGACAAATTAAAAAAATATATAAATTTACTTCGATAAGGTATATTAACAGATCGAGTCATGAAATTGAAGATAAGAAAATGGATCTAATCAAAATAGTGTGTACCTTAACTACTCTTTCCAGATTATGTCTTAGCCAGAGGTATCTAAGGACATTCTGGGGTGAGCACTGCAGTCCACCCGGTTACACAAATAAACTCAAATTCACAACTTATGTACATAATTCAAAATAATGATAAACAAGAGCTTCATAACCTTTCTCATTTTTTAAATTTCCAAATGTGCGTATGCATAATGATTTTTTTCAAATTATGAATACATGTTTACAGGTAACATACCCAACTGTAGGAAAATATTTTGTCAAGATTTAGATTAATTTTTTAATGATTATTTAAAAAAATAAATATTGGGTAAAAAGGAAATTGAGATTTTTTGACATTTATATTATATAGTAAGGAACTATTACTCCTCAATTTTATGTCATTTAAACATTTGTTTGTTGAAATTACTAGTAATACGTTGATTATGACAAAAGGAGAAGGGTAAAATACATATTAGAGTATATACAGATTTTATTCCATTTTAGCATATTGTGAACTTTTCTCAAATATAAAGAACTTTATTTATAAGTTTTTTATCGTATTTATTGCATATATCAACATTCCCAAATGTACACTAAATGAATTCTTATAATAATTAATTAAAATGTAAATAACTCACGCATAAAAAAAACAAAGAAAGATATATAAAATCTACTCATCATGTGAACATTTCGAACACACTTCTAAGTAATATCATGATTGTCGTTACTAGAATTGAAATGCTCTCACTTAATGTTGGAAACAGAGGTATGAAATATTATAACTGGAAGACCACCATCATTCAATGTGAATGACTCTTCTGTTTTCAAAAAAAAAAAAACACAAATGCAGTCTACGAGAAGCAGACATTGAGTTTTTCCAGAATCTTTCAGTTTTTTTAGTTCCACATACTGGATCACTTTTTGCCATTTCTTGGGGTGTTTGCTGGTTTGTCGTTACTATTGTCAGAATCGGAGTTGCTCTCGGGTTTTTTGCCGTCGCCACAATTATGCGTTTTCGTGTGTTTACTAAGATGGTCACTTCGCATGAAGCGTTTGTTGCACACTGGACATGCAAAGCGTTTTTCCCCGGTGTGAGTTCTTAAATGACGTTGAAGCTCGTCTGATCTTGTGAAACGTTTTCCACAGAATAACCAGTTACAAACAAACGGCCTTTCTCCCGTATGCCAGCGTAGATGCGCTTTCAAATGAGAAGTTTTACCATAAACTTTTCCACATCCGGGAATATGGCAACTGTGCATTGCCTTTTTACGTAAATGGGCAGCAGCTGGTCCGAGTCTTTCGGCCTCTTGACAGTTTGGACAGTCACATGTCGCTCTGCCTGCCAAGCGTCTTTGAGATTTTGAGGAAGTAGTCACATTTGAAAGAACAGGCCTGGGTAAAAATTGATTCATTGAATTAGCACCAATATCAGTTTGTGATGGAAACATACTTTTGTATGTCTCCGATAACAAATGCTGATTACTTGCAAGGTACGGATTACTTGTGGATCCTAATGAGTGAGTCAAACTATAGTCAGAATTTGGGTAATTTGAGGGTAAGGATGAGTGTATCCCAGGAGCCGATCCAGGGATTTCTGAGTACCAAGAATTGTGATTTGAATGCATATCCCACCACGAACCAGACGTATTTGTAGGCGCATTTACGTCCTTGACCGCTGAATGATGTGCTAAGTTTAAGGACCATGACTCGTAAGGGTGACTACTCATGGTTGTTGGAAGTCGAGAATAGACGTTTCCAAGCACTGAACCACTCATACAACTTTCAGGGTACATTTTTGGAGGATATGTAGGTGAAGGGGTATCATTTGAGTGCTGAGATGCAGGAGATTGATGTAGCCAATCACTACTTCCGTTCCCTGAACTGACGGAAGTTATTGGTACGCGGTTATAATTCAAACCGGATGTGGACATGTTTGTGTTCAATCCGGGGATTCTTTGTGATGAGAATGTCATGGGGTCTGGAGCCGTCACTGCTGTAACCGGCCTCTTCCAGGGATGGAAGCCTTTATTGAGTGAGGAATTGCCGAGAGGCGAAGGACATCTGTCTAATTTATTGCACTGGGCGGCTAGCATTGCCAAAGGGGCTCCCCCGATGTGATAGGGGTCCTGAAATACGAGAATCAGGCTAATTTAGCATGATATGTTACATGTTTTTTAATACAAAATTCTATCCTAAACCAATTCTTTCTTTAGAATTATTGGAAGGAAAATTAGGTTTCCCCAATTTAGAAAGACATATGTTCCAGCGCATTTACCAAACATAACATTATGAGAAAATGTTCTATGAGGACCAACACGTGTTAGATGGAAATGAAATTGGGGAAATAGCTCACAACTTTGCATTAAATTCGATAGTAAACTTCTAAAAGTTCCATCAAAAAACCGAATTATTTGTGCAGAATTGTAATAATATGCAAATACACGCAGAATCTTCAAAGCAAATGCATTGACCTGTGACGTTTAAATGAGATGTTCCCCTCTTGAATGCAAAACGGGATTTTCTAAAGAGTAATCGGATTTAAACCTTGTCAAAGGAAAACATGGCACTGTCACAGCGGGGAAACGGCGTATAGAAAAGTCACCCTTGTATCGCCAAAAACACCCCATTCATCGATCGAAGGTTTCCCAATAATACTCAAAAGGATAAAAATAAGTTTTCTTTCGACTACCATGGAAAGCAGTGATAGGAAATGTTTCAAGCCTTCTTGAAGCATTAACTTCATCTCATGTTTTAATTCAAGTTACATAAATAATCGTAAACAGATCACAAACCCTACGAATAAGGGGGAGTGGGGCTTCACAGATACACGAATGCTGTAAATCTCTTTTGATATAATCTCGACAATATGCTATAATTGAAAAAAAGAAACAAATATCACAACCTCCCTCATACATCTAAATTCGTTCTTCCCTATATTTATTATATGTGTTGATTTTAACACTAAGTTTACTTTCTTTTTTCAAATAAGTTTTTTTTATAATGCAACCAAAAAAAGAATGAATAATTTCTTTTATTGAAATTAATATACTCCCTGATATTAGTCAACAGTGATGGATTGAATAAGTATGAGACTATTAGTAAAAATCAGTGAGAGTCTTTCAGTCTAAAAAACGTAGAAAAGTAAAGACTAAATCAAGTCATTTTTTATTTATTTATTTTTTTACTTAGCGGCCAATGATCATCTGGAAATCTCTAAACTTCCCTCTTGGTAAAAGCAATATTTCTGGAAATTATTAGAATTATTACAAAAGAGGGAGATTATCAACTATGATGTTGATATTTCAAAAATTCGATGAATTATAAACTTCTTAAGTAATCTTTTTTCCCCATAAATACAATAAAAGGGAGGAAATAAATATCTAACAGTAAACAAAATTTCCATTCACTGATAATTACTCTGAATTTTCGGCCATATTTCGGACCACATGCTATCAATTTTCCATTCCGAAATAACTCTAAACATACTCTTGTATTAAAAATACGACACCCAGTAAATCAAATCGCGATCCTCGCACCTGTTTTGAGGAAAACTCATTGGAAATTCGATTCAAGGTGAGTCATCCAAAAGCTTATACAGTCAGGTGAAAAACACGATTAGGACCAATCACTTTTTGTTCAAAATAACATATTTTGCTTCAAAGGAATCGAGGGAGGCTGCAATGAAGTATTGTGGGGAGGATTGACTTTGCTGGGATTTGTCTCTCTGCGTGTACAAGTTATTGGGACATCTTTATATAAAAATGAGTTGCGATAAGATTGTTTATAAGGCAGAATATTTATCTTAAAATATAAGTTTTTAAATCATTATCTTTAGAACTTAATCATATTACAACCATCTACACACAAAATTTCATAATTTTAGGAAAAATATATCATTTTCAAAAGTTATTCAAAATTGATAATAGCACTAATGCATACTCCAGGAAATATCATTCAAACTAGATAATTATATTTATCTAAATTGCTGAAATATTTACTTTTTTAAAAATTCAATTCGTTCCCAAATGTTAATCAAAATTCACTACATAATGTAAATTTAATTGTGAACAAAATATTCTGTTATAAATTATAGAGTTTATGCTATTTATTTACTTTCCCTTTATATATTTCGAAGTGAATTCATCAGAAACATTAATTTTATCAGACGGTTTGTGCTTTTGTAAGAACAATCATTAAATTTATTAATACCAGCATCATATAATCAAATGGATGCATTTCAATTATGATATTTGAAGTGAAGTGAGAAGCATATTTAGCCACTTAAAACTTGAGATCAAAGAGCCCTATATGCTCCAAACTTTTCGCGCATTAAAAAAAATACATGTTTTACGTCACGCGTCTTCACTGTTTGTTGATCGCTGTAAGAGAAGTCTTATAAAGACAGTTACTGAAGCTGTTACAAAAAGTAACGCCCAAGCAGTGAAGGACCACGGGAGCGATAAGACGGGGGTCTGATTCACACGAGCTTCGATTGATCTTACACCGATAGCAGATATGATGGCGGACCACAGATTGAAATCATTATCAGCCCTACCCCGCGGAAACATATATCAGAATTTACGAGGAAATGGTTTTTAGATACTGTAAATCATCAATTGTGTGGCCAGGTAATAAAGACATTACTTGTATACTTATTACTAATCGGAGATTTGAATTCAACAGTATGCCCTGTATGAGGCAGTTTAGGCGCTGAGTTTTTACATATTGAGAAAGATAGAACTATATTGATTTAAATTTATTTATTTTTCAAATAAAAAGAAAGGTATTATAAAGAAAATGCCATGAAAATATTCAATAGATCTGGAGGTAAAAATGATTCAGAAAATAGAGTAAGTTAAAAAAAAAATAAGCAAAATTTTATCCAACAAATTAACCTCATGAAAGGAGAAAATATGTCGATCTGTGAATTCATTTAGATTGAATAACCCCATCCCCACTTCCCCTCCCCCCTAAACAAGAAGGATACACGAAAATAAAAAAAATATCTATTTTCTCTTTGTAAGTGTTGAGCAACCAGAATCAGTCAAACATAAAAGAGAAATGTTTAAAAGGATGATTAAGACACAAGACTTGGTATTTTGTTAAAGAAGTAATGAACCGTATTTAACCCCTGCTTAATTAAGCCAACGTTTGGCGATAACCCGGGAACGTAACGTATTGTTCGCGTGCAGAGCAGAAAATTCTCAAAGAAAAAGTTAGCAACGACTCCATGTTGACAGTGTCCACACCTTCTACCTCTAATGAAATAAGGAATTTATTTGGAAGAAAATGGCTAAGGTTGGCTTTAATTGATTGAGGATTTGATACCATTCTTTCAAACTAAAAAAAAATACATGTACCTTGATTACTCTTGTTGCAGAAGTAGGTAAATCATGAACTTTCTGTTTTACCCCCCAGTGAAGGTTCGTACAATTGTTCCCGTCACTTTTTCTGAAATTTCTTTTTTTTAATTACTTTAATGAACGATCTTTATTGGTCATATAATACGCTTTAGTTTGACTGCGTGTTTTAATTTTTTTTCAAGTGGAGGATTAAGTTATAATGTGTAATCAATTGCAATAATTCCGATTCAAAGCTATTTGATATTGAAATAATTATCTTTACACCAAAGGGAAATATAAAATCTCTAGATAACTTTTTCATAAGAAAATTTCACCAAAAGATGGTCTTGAGCTTTGTATGTTTTGAAATTGAAGAAGACTTTGAAGCTCGATAAAAATAAATGAGATTTTGTTATCTTCGGCATAAGTCTAGATTTCCAAAGATAAATTTGGAAGAAAACAGAAGAGTTTAAATCTTAACAATCTAGCACCCAATACCCGTATTTTCCAATTGATGCGAGGAAATCCAGCAATTATCGACTTTTGAAATGAAAAGACTTGCTATTTATTTTTGAAACTGTGTATATTAACTTCATTTAAAGTACCTGGAAAAATCTTTTTTTCTAGAGAAACATGAAGGCGAATTTTTAGAATGATTTGGGATATTCGGAGTTCATTAGCACCGTTCATTCATCTAAGCTAAATATGGCAAAAAGTAATATGAGTCTTATTCGCCACCTTTGCTCATTAGAAGAATTTTTAATAGACAAATTTTGATCAATAGCAAAAGATTTCTCCAATTCCAAGAATAAAGTCAATTATGTTCTCGTAGAGTCTATAATTTTGTGGAATATTTTTTAGCAAAGGCTTCTTATGACGCTGTCATTATATCCTGAAGAAAATCCATACTTAACTACACATTTCTAACGAAGCTCACTAAAAATAATTCAAAAAACGTCATGTCTTCAGAACACGATTAGAAAAACGTTCAGGAAACACTGGGAAAAAAGAAACTTAGAAGTTATAATTATTAATACAATTTACTTACCCCTAACACTGTGGCTGCCATCTCTCTTTAATAAGTGTGTATATTAGTTCCCAAACATTTGTTCATCTCAAAATACACGTCCCCCAGTGTCCTATGTCACGAACAGTGTATACATTTAATTTGTCTCGTCCCGCCCTCTTCTGCTATGCGCATTATCCGAGCTGTTATGTTATCCCGCCTCCTATTGGATGAGGCTGTATTCTCGCGAGATGATTGACTGTGTGCGGGAGAGGAAGAGAAGGTGGGTATCAAGTGGCGAGAAAACTCCCCTTAAATCCCTAATTACAGTCACTGCAATGAGAAAATAGTTACTTTAAAATGCTTTTACTTAATGATTTTCAAATCGTACAGAAATTTTGTAATTAATCAAATCATAAAGCGATATATTTCCCCTTAATTTAGTCACTGTGAATAGTTAAACTATCTTTCAACTTCGATAATTTAATTTCATTACCTTCGTCTTGATTTACCGATCACTTGCAAAGTGAAATGAAGATGATTACATTTTTAAAATTATTTAAAGCATATCATTTTCACAGTAGATTATGTGATAATATAATTAGTTCTTTTTCCTTTAGAAACTTTTATAACAAATGACAATTTTACATCGTTTTTATAACATTTAACTACTTTTCCCACCTACCGCAAATTTTTAAATCTTTGAACTTTTCGTATATGTACCATTGTCTAGTATTTTAAAATATTTCTTATTGCAGTATTTCTAATTGAAATCAAATCAGAAGTTCTGGTGACCCGATTTAAATTAAGATAAAATGGAACTCATTGCAAAATACAGGCAAACAAACACGTAATTTTTATCCATGAGTTTTATTGTATTAGATTAATTATTTACTTATAATAAAAGCTGGCATTAAAAATCCAGAGGTCTCAATACTGCAAAGGAGATGTTCATTTATTAATTTGTTTCACTGTACTTTCTATTATGGTTGAGCATGATAATACTTGATTTTGATTTGATGCACTCTCAAATTTATTAATTTCATCTTTCTAATTTCCACCTTCACGCCTTGTAAAATCATGTTCCATTAACCCCTTTTGTCATTGAGGGTATAACCACGTGACTTGGGAAGAGGTCCAAAAGAATGTCAATATACAATGCAACATTGTTACTCTTTTTCCTTGACGCTGACGGTTTTTGCATTGCACACGGGATTGTGTAAATAATCAATTGAAATTCGTCAAACTCAATTTTAATTAAAAGCTTTTTTCAACACATTGAAATGCAGTGCAAAATGCTTAAAGGCGTCTATGGGACGATTTTCACAGAAAACAAGTTGTCAGCATTGAAGGGAAAACTAAATGTTTTGGTACCGCTTGTGGTTTGAAGAAGTCTTGGCACATAGTTATGAATCACTTACAAGAAATTGTGAAGAAAAATTATTTTTTGTGTGAATGAAGTGTTAATGAAAGTAATATAATCTAAGATGGTAGAATATTATATCTCTTGGTCAAAGTTGACTTGCTCGTCAGATTAAAGTTTGTTTATGTTAAAATCAGCTAATAAATTTTGTTACATGTTATATGTATTGGATATTTCAATCCATCTTCATTATTTTTGAATTTGTCTTTAAATTTCACAATGTTTTCTTCTGAATATATATGTATTTGAAGTTTTGATACTTTTACAAACGCACACAATGTATACACATGTATACATTGTATATACATGTATAAAACATAAATCTGAGAGAAAAAGATAACAATGTACTAGTAAATTTTGACCATTTTTAATTTTGTACAAGTAAATAAGTTTTTTGATTTTCGATTAAAATGTTCGAAGACATCCAAAACCCTGAAGAAAACCTAAATTCCAGAAGAAATGCCAGTCGAAGAGTAAGACTACCAGTCAAGAAACATGCATACAACAATGAAGATCGTGGAATTACATCATGTGTAAACAACGGATGCAGAAAGAAAGATAACAGGACGGATCATCCGTTTCTTTATGATGTACAGACTCTGCATACGAGCTTCAGTTGGGATTGTGATTGCAATGAGATAACTATGGATTTGACTTATTTAATTTAGTAATACAAGTATATGTTGTGTTGATTCTTTTGTTTGAAACTGAAATTGCAATAAGATCGTGAATTTTATTTATTTATTTTATCAAAGTGTCTAAAAATAGTTCCAACAATGCTTGTATTGTGAATTTTTTTTTTTTGAAAATGTACAGTTTGTAGTTAATATTTGAACCAATATCTTGAATTTGGAGAGGATATAATAGATGTGAAATTTTTTTTCTCTGAATTGTAATTTTTTTTCCTCTTTTGTAATTCAAAAATGAATATCATGAATCAGTGAAGAAATATTCTGAACTTGAAACATCTCAAACTATGAGTGCAACTCTAGCTGGCTTTTTGCTGATTTTTAGGCAGGAGATGTTTGTATAAAACGAAAGTGGATTATTGAGCTCATATGTTGGAGGTTTGAGCACCATTAAACCAGAGTTTGAGATTTATACAAACACCGATATTTTCTTCTTTTCCTTTTTATTTGGTTTGGTTTAACCGGTCTATAGATTTGATGCAATAGCTTTTTTTGCACTTTGGAAAATGTACTTTGAAAGATTAAAGTCAGTATGTACTTTATCTATTTACTATTCTCGTTTGAATCCTTAATTTGCTATTTTGCGCAATTGTTGAAATTACCAAGTATCTTTTGAAATCTTAAGCATATTGTAATAGTTTATATACTTTTACATCTTTAAAGTCATTAGTATATTTGTTTATTTATTCAGAGGAAAAAGTTCAAATTCTAGTTTTTGTGATTTTCTTTCTGAACCAACTATTAAAACCTTAAGATATTCTTAAGATATTCTAATGTCTTAATTTGATATTTTTTGTAGTTTAAAAATGAGATGTTATACTTGTTTATAATTAAATCCATCGTTAATGTTACGACTTGCGATATAACAATTTGTGCTTGATTTCAATTGTACCTTTCCATTTTCCATAGACCTAGCTGGCATTAGTTCGTACCATGAAAGTTTTCTAATCAGGTGACTTTAATATTCATAATTCTGAATATCAATAATAATCCTGTCAGAATTCCTAGATAATGCCATTAAGTACTGTGTTGCAAGCTATTTGAAACTTTTATTCACTTTACTGACAGCAACCAACATATGGACATGTTTAAGCAAATTCACCGTAAGAAAATATGACATTCAAATATTTGACCCTCAACGACGCATCCCCGAATAGAGTAATCACCCACATCAAAGGGACGGCATGAGCACAGAGCATTTTTATTCTCAGATTGATAAAAGAAATAGATAAATTACAGTGCTGAATTCAAAATAAAGCATTAAAAGCACAATGTTCCAACATCTTCTCTGCTCAACAAGTTCAAAAACTTTTCTTCAAAAGAAAATTTAGCACGACTAAAACCAAGTTAATAACATATTGAACAAAGTAATGCACAATGTGTGTTATGGAGAACGTTTCTGAAGGATCTATTGAGCATGTACCTACATCCAACATAATTAAGTTCAATTAATACATGTACCACACACATAAACTCATACCAAGGTAGTGCTGAAGTGGAACAAATTACTAATACGACCTTTATTAGTTTGCCATTTTTATGAAGCATTTTGGACAAAATAATCTGTATTTAAAAAAGCAGCACAGGTACTTGACGTTACTTATTTTTCTTATTAAAAAATAACCCCATATTTGTAGTTATATTCATTTATTGGGTATTGTTTTTTTTTAATTAAAAAAAAAATAGTAACGTCCGTTTCCCTCTGAAAAGCAGCTAAAATCCCGTTTCTGCACATTTCATGTAAATCATCTTTGGAGTTCAAAGAATAGGTGACATTTGATTTTTGTTTATAATTTTGAAACTTTAAAAATTTATTTGTAAAAGATTTTTTCTCACAAATGTTGCTGAAACCAAAGTTCGAAAATGACTATTTTTGCAACTGAAAATCCATTTTTTTTTAAATTATTAATTTACCTGTATGTTTGTTTATTTGAATTTATTTATAATTTTATCAACAACTTTCAAACACCTTCTATAATTGTCCCATGTGGGCCCAGTCGTAATCAGATTTCTTCATTTATATACAATATTAAATATATATTCAACTGTGTCTATCATTCCTTTAAAATTATTTGTTAGTCGTTTCTTCATATTATAAAAAAAAAACTTTAAAAAAGTAATCAATGCAAATAAAATTTTCGACTGTTTATTTGAATACAGACATTGTTATGCTCAGTTATGAAACAAATTTTGTTTATTCTACTTTTCATCATATGCATGTTCATACAATCATGACAATATGAAATAATAAAAATCAAGTTATTTTATTTGCAAAATTTATGTTTGTATGAGCTTATAAATATAAATAATCATGCAATTTGAAATTATTCAAATATGCATTTTACATATAAAATTAAGGCACAACTGTATTTTAAATTATGACATATAGATATAACATTATAACGAATCCATACTCTTCTTGTGGATATAAGTAGCCATAATTTCTTCTTTGTGTTTAGAAAATATCTAGAAGCTAGACGTTTAATGTTGAATTCTTTACTTGTAATCAATAATGTACAAATGTTACATATATGTAAACTGTAATGGGGAGATGAATCATTATCTTTGCAAGAAAATAAAAGACTTTTATGTATTGTTCAAAAAAATTTTTTAGGATCCGTATATGTACTAGTAGTTTCAATTAACAAATATTTGTAATTATGCCTCTTTTGAAACTATTTCTATTATCATGGTTATTGTCGTCATTATAATCACCAGTATATGAATTGATATTTTTGGCAATAATAGCTATTGTGTTTTATACCCCCCGTATATGTATCAATAAAATATGTTCAAAACAAAACATTCAAATATGCATAAATTTTAGGTTAAATTTCATTTAAAGCAATAATAGTCTATATTTCTGCTATGCTGAAAAAACTTTGCTAGTTAAATATTATTTAATTTTTATATTCATATGAGTTGGAGTATCTTGCTGTGTCCCTTTAATTTAAAATTAACATACATTGACGGCGTTTTATTTATTTTTATTTATAAGTTGATTTGATATCTTCCACTGAACTCGATATAACATATCAAACAC